TTTAATCAAAAGCACCACGAGAAGGTGAATTTCACAACACTTAACGGTCAATGAGTATTTTGCAGCTGATGATTGAGTATCCGAATGAAACACCGAGTCGTGATATCCACGTGGGATATAATACATATTTGCTAATATATACTTAACAGCTTTGTTATATAACATTGTACGTTGTTTTTATAACACCTGTGAATATATGTCAGTGCAAGTATATATATATAAATATATATATATATATATATATATATATATATATATATATATATTAATAAATATATTTTTCCTTTGCACGACTCAGAGTTTCATGTTACAAGTCTTTACGCAGGGCCTGAAGATTGCGTTGTGCATGAAACTCTGAATCGTGCTATTGGTGAGGGAATGTATATAGCTCTGTTATATTATATCGAACCCTACTGAATTAACACCTATGTGCAAGAAATTTATATATATATATATATATATCAGTCTTTCGTCAATGCCACAGTAATAGTCACTGTTTACAAATTCACTATTTATATATATATATATATATAAATATATTTTTCAGGATATGTATATATATTGTCATCCACAGACAGACTGTTTCGCTGTTTCACAGCTCATCAGTGTGTCTAGACACACACACACACACACACACACACACACACACACACACACACACACACACATATATATATGTATATATATATATATATATATATATTTTTTAAAGACATTTTTTATGTTTATACGTTCTTAAAAAATAATTGTCGGACTTTGTCCATTTCATAATGTGTGACACACACACACACACACACACACACACACACACACACACACATACATATCTATATATATCTATATATATATATATTATTTTAATAAGATTGTAAAACCAGTATATACAAGTCCGTGTCATATGTCTTTCATCCTAGAAATCTTTGCTATATGGTCGCCATTTAAACGTCTTTCCAACATGTACGGAGTTCACAAAATATGGGACTTACGTCCTTATTCAAGAATATTCACTCTATATGGAATTTGTCTTCTTATTCCAGATTTGCCTAGAACTAGCAAATTCTTTGTCCAATGTAGAAGAAATCTACTTCTTTTAAGAAATTTGCTTCTTTTAAGATGCAATGACGGTGCCACCGTTTTACTTCCAACTCAAAATGGTCCTTTTTTTTCTGATAGAAAAGTCTGCCACTACATGAATTCTATTAGTTATAAGAGTTGCCGCATTTGCGCTGATGGGCAAGCGTCATTAATTGTACTGATGGTCGAGGATTAATTGTACCGAGGTTAAAGTGTCCGTTTTGTGGCTTGACTCAGTTGCGAACCGGGATAAAATAGCCGAATCCTGAATATTGATTTTCAAGGCAAGCGAACAGTCCGACTTCATATTGTCTTACTTGCAATTTGCCAAAGCTTATAAAAAACGATGTGAATGACTATTGAATGAGGATTGAAATGCAGTTTAAAGGAGTTCCGAACAACAGGCGTTGTGATTTTATTGCCATGACGTCATTGCTCATTATCTCGCAAAACTATCTTTATCGACCAACAATGGCAGGAAATTCGGTAGATCGATAGCAGGAGCTTACGTAGAAGAAAAGTAGAAAACATTATAGAATGAGACAGGGGAATAAGAAAAATCAAATATGAAAAGTTGTTTCAATGATCGTACAGTTTTCCGACCATCAGTAAAAATGCAGTTTTCATTAGAAATTAAATGAAAGCCAGCCACTTTAATATTCCAGAAACTTTTCACGATATTTTGCGGATTTTTTAATCAGTATCACCCCAAGCAAGGCAATACCGCTACTAACACGCATGGGGTTACAGGGTGTAGAGGAATTAGGAACAGAAAGATTAGTAATGAGTAGAAAGCGAAAAGAGCAATCAGGATGACAGTAGATAAGCTTTACAATTACTTTTTGCAGATTAAAGTTGGTTGGAAAGCATGGAGTTGGAAGGGAGTTTCACAATCGAGAAATGCGACAAAAGAAGCTGTCAGCATAGAATTTACGGCTACATCTAACCAGATCATTTGTAAATTGACGAGATCTCGAAGACAGTTTAGTACTGCGCTTAAATTCAAAGAATCTAGGCACCATAGCGAAGAGCTTATCCAAACATTCATCATGAAGGTATTTATAGAAAAGGCACAGGGAGGCAATCTTACGGCCTTGCACCTATTTCTAATTTTTCTCACATGTCCTTCGAAATTATTCCGAGTACTCTAATGTGGATTGATATGACTGTCATCTTCACGGTTTCCATTAATTTTTAGTTCCATTATTATTATTATTATTATTATTATTATTATTATACATTTGACGGCTGCTGAATCTTCTACATGCCGTCTCCCTTCATGGCCAACCAAGGCTCTCCACAGCTTCCTATCCTTTGTAGATCTTAGTAAGATTTATCTTTTTACTATCCCACCTAATCCCTGTTTTGCCAATCATTTACACATTTGGTGTTTCTGAGTAGAAATATCATTTTTTGATTTCATTTTCCTTAAAACTTCCTCGTTACTCAAATGTTCAGTACATGATATTCTCAGCAACCTTCTGTAGAACCACGTCTTTGTTGCCTGAAGCTCTTCTTCATCTGTGAGGAAATTGTCCAGTACTCACTGCCATATAGCAGGATCGATACAATGTAATCAAATCTCAACTGCAAACCTAGGTGACATTGTACATAAGGCTTTTTTTCGCAGAGTGTAAGCATTTTCTATTAGTTATTTTGTAGTTCTCTTGTATGTGACTTACTTGAAAGTATTAGTATTTTTACTCGTTTTGTGTACATACCAGTATCAATTGTTAACTTATACTAAAGATCAACTAACAACAATCCCCCCCCACCAAACACAACTCTCTTCTTTATATGCTGTTTTCAACAACGTTGTCATTTGGATGGTCCCATTTCGTCTCCTAAATTACACTCCCCCTCCTCTCTTTCCTTGGTTCTTCCCAGTGGTCGCACAGTGATTGGCACGACTGTCACTCTTATGATTCTCATTGGTATAGCAAAATCAAAAATGTCTGCCATATTTTCTTCTTGTTTATGACTAACAGATCCAGTTTTTCATGCTGGATTGGGTGATCCATTTTTATCCTGGATTGGGTGATCCATTGGAAGGTCTAAGTTCTGCAGGATTTTAGATGTTTCCTTCTTTAGGTCAGATTCTGACCTGGTGCATATACTCCTAGTCTTCACGGTCAAAATGCAGATTAGAGTTGGCCGGAGTTCCACAAACGGGAAGTGCGAGAAAAAAAAACTGTTAATGTAGAATTTAGTACAACTGTAAATTGGTGAGACCTCAACACCAGTCTAGTACTGCGCTTAAATTGGAAGAGTTTAGGCACCATAGCGATATTTATCCCGTATTATGTACAGAAATGTGGCACAAGGCCAAAATGGGGAATGGGCAAAAAAGTATGGTCTTCTTCTGCCTTAACATTAAACTTAGTTAGCCACGATCACTGACCAAACATACCACAATATTCCTTACACCAAACAACGCATTCTTATTTACCGTTCTTACAACGTTCACCATAATACCTCAATGTCTCTATGAGAATCCTAACTAGTGCCCATATATACAATTCATGTCTGTTGGGAGGTGAGAATAAAATAATAATTTTAAAGAGTTCATCCAAATAATTATCATGAAAATATTTATAGAAAAGGCAAAGGGAGGTAAACTTACGGCGGTAGGAAAGTTACTGAAGCCGAGATGCCAGGTCGGAGCCAATAATATTGCTGATTCTTTGGATTTTATCAAGAATTTCCCGGAATGAATGTGCGCATTTATATTATTTTTTAATTGTTCCCAGTGCTCCACTTATTATTAGAATAAAGGTTGTTTAAATGCCACATTCTTTCAGTTTCTATTTTCCATATTTGTGTACTTATTAAAATTGCTATTCATTTTCTCACCAGGGATCTCGCTGACATTTTCTTAGGATCGAGTGATAAAAGAATTCTTCAAATCTTCAGTACTCTTCTGAGGGCAATTCACAGATTCCAACATGGCTGCTATTTGTATTATTTTCATATTTCTATGTGGAATCATTGATGGTTATCAGCAAGGATCGAGTAAGAGCGAACCCAGCACCCTGCTCAGTATCCACACTGATTTCGGCAGTGCTGTAGTCTGTATTATTTCAAATCTTGTTTGGATGACCAAGTCCATCACCTTCTTTGCCTTATAGCGAACCCTCACCTCTATACGGTCAAAGGTCATTTACGGTTGGGCCCCGGTTAAAAGATGAAAAAAGAATGAAATAACGGAACCTTGCAACAACTGTAGAACAGGTCGTGCTCATAATACACAGTGCACTCGGAACTGTGTCCCCAAAGCTGAAACTGAGATTGAGATTAGAGGGAGAACTACGATCGTATAGCTAGATGACAATGTAGTTGCAATCATTGAAGAAGGTGTTGCAGTTTTTTGTGTATATTTATCTACTAGTGAGTTAGCCCAAATGACTTGACTCACTTTATAGTCTACCAATAGAAGGTTAACCAATCAAAAGACGTAGAATATTCAATTCTTCGTGTATAAAGGCGGCCATTTTGTTTACTCTATCCGAATGTCCAGTGCCAGCTTGTCAGGCGAAGAGAAACAGAAGGAAGAACTACGCTCTGCTACTCTTACCAAAATATCCACTGCTAACCTGAAGAACGCTTTCCTACTGTCTTCGAAATATTCACTGCTAACCTCTGGATTCTATACTCGAAGACGACCGTCATCATCAACAACAGAAGGTGCTGGAGATTTGAGGATGACTTTTACTGCCATTTTGTCGCCGGCGATAACGACAAGGTAACAAGTGGAAGCAGACAAAGGCATGAACTCTTAAGGATTTTATTTGCTTACTATTATTATTCTTATTGTTAGATATTTCGTGGTAGTGCCTTTGTCGCCGCTAATAAGGATCATGGGGGTTAGTAAAGAAGAAGGAAAGAGGAAAAAGAAGAAAAACAAAGATATAAAATAAAATAAAAAGAAAAGAACGTAAGCAGAAGGAAGAAAAAAGAAGTTTTTTCCAGGTTGAATCATCATCTGTGAATTATTCTCTCTCTTTCTCTCACTCTTTTTCTCTTTCCCTCTCTCTTTCTTTCTCGCGTTTTCTTTCTCTCTCTCTTTCTCTCCCTCTCTCTGTCTTTTTCTCACTATCTATCTATCTATGTCTTTCTTTCTCTCTTTCTCTGTCTTTCCCTTTCTGTCTTTCTCTGTTTGTCTTTCTCTTTCTCTCTTTCACTTTTCTCTCCCTGTCTCTCTCTCTCTCTGACTTTCTCTCTTTTTCTGTCTCTCTATATCTTTTTTTATCTCTCTGTATTTCTCTCTCTTTCACTTACTGTTTTTCTATCCCCCTTTCTGTCTTTCTCTCTTTCTCTTTCACTTACTTTTTCTCTCCCATTTTTTCTCTCCGTCTTTCTTTTTCTGTTTTTTCTCTCTCTTTCGGTCTTCCTAACTCTCTCCTAGTGTCTTTCTTTATCTCATTCTCTTTCTTCCTCTCTCTCACTTTTCTCTCTTTATCTTTCTCACTCTCTCTCTGTTTTTCTCTCTCTCTGTCTTTCTGTTTCTTTCTCTATTTCTCCCATTCTTTCTGTCTTACTTTCTTTATCTTTCTCTCTTTCTTTCTGTCTTTCTCTCTCTCTCTTTCACTTTTCTCTCCCTGTCTTTCTCTCTGACTTCCTCTCTTTTTCTGTCTCTCTCTATCTTTTTTCTCTCTCTGTATTTCTCTCACTTTCACCTACTGTTTTTATATCCCCCTTTCTGTCTTTCTCTCTCTCATTCTTTCTCTCTCCGTCTCTCTCTCTCTTTCTCTCTCTTTTTCTGTTTTTGCTCTCTCTTTCGGTCTTTCAAATTCTCTCCATTCTTTCTGCCTTTCTTTCTCTCTCTTTCTCTTATTGTTTTCCTCTCTTTTTCGCTCTCTTTCTGTTTTTCTCTTTATCTTTCTAACCCTCTCTCTTTCCCTTTCTCTCTTTCGCTGTCTCTGTCCTTCTCTCTACTTCTTTCTCTTACACTCTTTCTCTCTCTTTCTCTCCTTGTATTTTTCTCTCTGTCTTTCTCTCTATATTTCTCTCTTTTTCACTCTTTTTCTCTCTTTCTGTCTCACTTCCTCTCTCTTTTTCTCTGCCCCTTTTTGTCTTTTTCGCTTTCTCTCTCTCTCTCTCTTTTTCTTTGCTCCTTTCTGTCTTTGTCTCTCTTTCTCTCTCTCTCTGGTTTTCTCTCCTCCTTTTTTTCTTCCTCTCTCTGTCTCTCTTCCTATTTCTCTTTCTTTCTCTCTCTCTCTTTCTGTCTGTCTCTCTTGCTTTCTACATTTACGGCAAATGACCGAAATAAAGCTTTTCTCTTTTCCTTACAATTCAATCTTTCTTTCTTTCTTTCTTTCTTTCTTTCTTTCTTTTCTTTCTTTCTTTTATTTACGAAATGTCCATATTTGGTATCTGTTAGATTCTCTTACAAGATACACGAACAACAGACGAATAAGAGAAAGAGAAAAATAGAAAGATATTGGAATTATAAGGGAATGAAAAGGAAGAGGAGAAGAGAGGCGGCAGTTAAGAAGAAAAAGGAAAAAGACGAGGAAGGAAAAGAAAGAGGAGAAAAGGGAGAACAATAAAAGAAAAGGAAGGATGAGGAGGAGGAAGAGGGTAGAGCAGAGGAAGGAAGAATTGGAAGAAGAAAAGAACAAAGAAGAAAGGAAAATGAGGGGAAAGGAGAAAGTAAAGTGAAAAGAAGGGGGGGAAGTGGGAGACCAGTAGAAGAGGACGGAAAAATATAAATAAAGAAAAGAAGAAAGAAAGAAAGAAAAAAAAAGAAGAAAAGAAGAAGAGGGTGAGGGTGAAAGGCGAATGAAAAGAAGACTTATGAAAGAAGAAGAAGAAGAAGAAGAAGGAGAAGAAGAAAAAGAAGAAGAAGAAGAAGAAGAGAGAGAAGAAAGAAAGAACAAATAGCAGAGTGATTTTTGCCTCTGTTTTCAGTCTGTTCTACTCTCGGAACGCCAGCCAATAACTGTAGCAGTCGCGTCTTGGTCTCGCATAGGATCTTTCAGGGTAATTTCTATTGAAGAAGGGAGAGACACGCGCGTGCACACACACACACACAGACACATATACACACACACACACACAGACACACACAGAGCGGTGCCAAGAGACAAAGTTTCATTGGAGTTCCATTCCATCCCAGTCACCAACTTCGACATCGACGTTAATTCTTCCGTTTTCAGCATCTTCGCTGTCGCTACTCTCGCTTGTTACCGACACTGCCATAGTCAGCCTCTCAAGCAAAAGTGGTTTCAATACGCCTATCCCCACAGCGAGTCTCTTTCATATATCGCTTTCACACTGCGGTGTTAAGGAGACAAAATAAGTAGACACCCTCTTCTTGTTATTAGTGGCATGGCCGAATGGAAAGCTGCAGTTAGGCGCACACGGCTTCTGTTTGGCAACAGTAATGGCATTTCAAATGAAATTTACTCACAGAATAACATGCACCCTGAGAAAGTTCACGCCGGACTTGTGCCTTAACATTTGACATTGTGACATCGTCAGAAAGATTTTGCTTTGCTGGAAGTTTATTCGATTATAATTAATTAACCCGACGCCTGCATCCGCTGACAATAATTATTGCATACAAAAATATTAGGAATCTGCAAAGTGTCGCGTTCATTTAAAAGAGCGACCCGTCTGTATGTGTCACGTGTTTGACGAAAAAGTACATTTTTACTTTCATTGTTAGGCTCCTTCCAATTCTATCGGACTTATCTTAATATACATGTGTGGAAATATATGTATTTATACATATGAACTTGATAAACACATTGGATTATGACGGGATTTTTAAAGCGCGAATTCTCTTCACACAACGTTTGGTTCTCATACCCTAAGGCCGAGGCTTTCTACCTACCACAGGTGAGTTTTACCTACGAAATGACTTTTTGGGAAATTAACTCCACGTGAGAATTGTTAAATGTTAAATGATAAATTTCAACGGACAATTTTTTTTTTATATCTACTTAAGTGTAAAATATAGAAAATAAATGTATAAATTATATATAAGTAATAAGTAAAACAACTACGCAAATTCTAATATAAAATAATTAAATATATGCATATAAATAAAAACGTATATATATATATATATATATATATATATATATATATATATATATATATACAAGCATATATACATATAAATGTATGTGTATATACACGTAAGCATATATATATATATATATATATATATATATATATATATATATATATATATATAAAATGTATTATTTTAGGATATTACACCGAAAACATGTCAAAATCGCTACACAATTGCATGTTTCGATGCGTATCAATGCATCTCCTCAGGTGAATATTTACAATCACCTGATGTTTTCGGTGTAATATCTTAAAATAAAGAATATTTCTCTACTTTGTATTGAGCCTCTTTTTAAATTAAA